GTCGAATAAAAAAACCGCTTAAGAACCGATAATCGGATTGACGAAATCACTAAACCGGGGTTAATGGAATTACACTAAACTTAAGGTTTATCGCTCCCAATTCGATTTGAGTTAATAGCAAAGGACAATGTAGCCTTTGGATAACCCCAAATTACCCGTGTGTTTAGGGATTAGTGATTTCGTCAATCTCGGTTTAGTGATTCCGTCAATACGATTAAGCAGTTTATTCGATTCGACAATTTTTATATACTTAATGTATTAATAGACCAAAATTTAATAAACCATGCATTTTATTTCCAATCAAATAACATTGGGTATTAAACTTCCAAATTAAAATTAAATGGAGAATTTTTATGGAATTTTCCCGAAGAATAACCCTTTATTTGAAAGAATTTGTGAAACTATTTTTTTTTACACTCCAACTTACTTTTTATTTTTATTACCTAATTATTGTGTTTTTAAAAATTTTAATTAATAATTCTTATGTTTTAAAAATTTATAAAAAAAGAGAATACCAATAGACTCTTTTGAGAAAGGAATAGGTCCAAAAAATAAATATTGTGCAACTCTGAACCAATAGTCCGAACAAACCATAGTATTATACTCCCTATGTTTCATTATAAGTGATACTTTAGCCAATATTTTTTGTTTCAGTATAAGTGATGTTTTCAATTTATATATTTTTGGTAGAAGACAAGGAAGAAAATAGCTCCCCCTAATTTATTAATTTAAACTACAAAGAATTGTTGCAGCGCTTGTAGCTGCCATGTGGCGGGGTGTGCCATATTGCAGGGGTTCTCACGTGATGGGTTGTTACAATTATAATCAAACATCTCTAGAAATTGATGTCCCACAAGCATCCGCCAACATAATATCATGAATTACATCAGGGCACGTTTCAAATAAATGTAATCCTAACTGTAACAAATATCATAGTATTATATTTAATAACATATCAGATATATGTCTTTGAAGAAAATATTAAACATAACATGATTTTCTAGTGCTAATTACAGATAATTTTTGCATTTTGGATCATATAAGATTTTGCTGATCTTCTTGGGTTTTAATCTGAAACGAGAAATAAAATTTCTATAAAATTTTAATGTTTTATTTTAAAATCAAAGCTTATTTATTATATGGTAACATACAAACCTTTAGAATAATTCCAATATGGCTTAGAGAAGATCTTAAATAATTTTCCATGATATTGAGGCGGTTCAAATCATTAACTTCATCCGGATATTTCCAGCCCCTTATAAAATTAATAAATTAGTAAAACAATAAAGGTAAAAGTTAAAGAAGAAATGTTTTTATATAATCTTCATAAGTGTTATTAGCTCAAAATTAACTATTTCTCAACAATCAATTCTTTGAGCTCTCTCAGTTTAGTATCTTATTATCATCCTAAATAAAAAAATTATTGGATTTAATATAAAAGCTATAAATTATATTCTTTCAAATTGTATTCAATATAAAACATTATTGTATTTAATATAAAAGATATTTCATACCTGGATCACTACACCCCTACAATAAATATAACAATATTAGATCAACAATGTAAAACAATATATTTGCATATATTTGAATGAAGAAAATTTTTACCTTCCATGGAAAATCTGATCATTTTCAGTGGAATCATCTCTATTGTTCATGCTCAACAATTTCTTCAGCGTCTATACATGTAGAGAGAGAAAAAAACTAGAGGTTTTAGAAACCAAACAACAAAAAATAAGATGATAAATGAGTTGTTTTTAACTAAATGTTCTGATTTTTAGATAATTTTTTAATGAACAAGTATGAACACAATTTTACATCCTTTAGATTGACATACTAAGTTAATGGTTTTTCAGAATAACGAACTAATAACATTTATGATCTATACAACAGCACTATATATTATAAAAAAATCAATATCAATTTGTAACAATAATAAAAATAAGTTTTTTAAGTAGATATGGACTATGGTCCTATGGTTTTGCTTCTACCTAAGTGCAAAAAGTGTGAAGAACTATGAGTGGTTCTATCTTTGCGGATTATGAAGATTACCATAGGATTTATGTTACTTTTGGGCAGTTTCTTAGAGGAGGAATTTGATTATCGACGGTTGGCCGAGGGCATCGTCAATGTATTAGCAAAGGATCTCTTGAAGTTATCATTCCTTGTTGGGTTTGGCTTAATTCTCTTTAGTTGAGTTTGTTCGTTTTGATATGTTTTTGTATTGGGTTTCTTCTTCTATTATGCTTATAGCCTTGTAGTTGCAGTTGTTAGTTTCCGTTCTAAGGGTTTAAGACCTCGGGAATATCGTGTTTTCCGCCGGCTTTAGACTCCAGGAATTTTCTGTTATTCGCTGGCTTATGTTGTAATTTTCAAGATTCTTATGTTTTCAATAATAAAATTCCAGATGATCAGAAAAAAAAAAGTAGATTAAAGGACAAAGAGCAGAAACGCATGGACTCTTTGGAAGAGGTAATTAGTCTTGTGGCTACTCATGATCAGATCTTGAAGAATTTGCGTTTTTGGAGTTCAATTAAGCACATTTTCAGCAGATTCAGCAGATCCAAGTGAATTGATTTGATATAAATATAGAAAACTCTTTCTTTAGATTTTGAGTAGTAAGTATTGGTGCAATCTTAGTTCACTCCTCAGTCTATCTTTTGTTCCTCTATGAAACATTGACACGCATTTAGTGTATTGGATAACTGTTATAAAAGTTTTGGGAACCGAGCTTTTCTCTCGCTTGCGAACAACTCTCCAAATCTAGTTTTTCTTTTTTTTCTCGATCTGCTCTTCATAGTTGGTCACAGTCAATCGAAAGTAATCCATGGTGAGTAGCTCCTCTTCTCTGTCAACGGTGGTGTGGTCTCTTCACCGATGTGGGTGTGGCGATGGATGTGCGGTGGTAAATCTCCTCAGCGCATGTTCTCGTTTTGAAGACGGCGGGAAGCTTTGGAGATTTCTTGGTTCAGCCGTTCTCTCCGGCAGCTGCGTCTACGGCGGAAGTTGGTGAAAGAGTAGGTGGGTTCGTTGTTATACGAGGTCGTTAACGGTAGATCTGTTAGATCTTAGATGGCAGAGGTGGAGTTTTTGGTTTCTTTCGGCGTGCTTGAGCTACCGTCGCTTGAAGCCGCCATCTCTTAGCATCCTCCCGTCCAGATCGAGGAGGAGCTACTCGGATTCTTGAAGAGATCCGGTTAAGGAGGAAGAAGGATAGATCTGAGAGTGTTGAGTTGCTAGGTCAGGACTTGACACCGCGGAACCGTGTTGTCGGGGTGACTAGCTTTCCGGGAGGTTTGTAGCGGGTCAGGTGCGGTGGAGGAAAGGAGCCGCCGGCGAAAACCGGTCTCTTTCAACAGTGGTTTTCAATCCTTCATCGTGGCCGCAAAGCTGTGGATCTTGAGCCCGCCGGATCTAATGCTCCGGTCACTCTGCCTCCGGCGAGCAGCAGGGTCCGAGTTCTTTTTCTTTTTCTGGTAATCTAGGGTTTCCTTTGCTAATGGGTTTATTTCGTGTAAGGCTTGGCCCAGGCCATTTGGGAAGTTTCGAATTTTCGAATTATTAATAAAATTATATTAAAAAAAAAAAAAAAAAAAAAATTGTTATAAAAGTTACTTTTTCTAGTATGTTTCTTTTGTTCCTCTGTGAAACATTGACATGCATTGACCATGCGTTTCTGCTCTTTGTATTTCCAACACTTCCAGCTTCTGAGACTCTAGCTTCTCCGTTTCTGATTTTCTTTTTCTCCATCATCACCAAAAGACTTCCCAAGTAAAGAATTTCCAATAAAACCAGTAACAGCGAAAACAATAGTGACGACCATCGATTGAACCAAAATGATTAGCATATCCACTATTTTTGCCGCCCCTTCCTCATCATTGTAGCTTTTCGTTTTGTATGTCAATACAGACGCCGATTCAAACCCTCTCACAGTACAGAACTCGTTTAATATGTAGTATCTATTTTTGTATTGATTGTTTCAAAATGTTATAGATTTAGTAATCATTTAAATGGGCAAGTATGTATGTATCGATTATTATAAAATTGTTTTAGACTTAATAACCATTTAAATATACATTGATAGGTACTACACAAAAATACTATAACATTTTAATTTTGATTTGTTTTGAACATAAATGTTCTATTATTTATATTTTGAGACTCATTTATATTATTTACAATATTGAGTTGATAAGAAAGGAAAAGTTAAAATTTTATATGATTAGTTAAAATATTCATATTAATATATTAGTGGACAAAAAATAAAAAAATTTTAAAAAATTGAAATATATCTAAGTCCCTCAGTTTCACCTTCAATGTTTTAATAGAATCTTATTAGTTAAGTTTTTATGATACATCAGAAATATACGGTGGGAACTTAACTTCTCATTTTAGGATGGGCAAATTATGATAAAACACTTTAAATTTCACTAATATATCTATGTACAAGTTCGTTTGTGTATAATTTTCACTAGTTACATAATTTACACTTTACTTTGAATGAATAATTCGTTTATATGATCATCTAACAAGTTAATCCTAAAACATTCTTTTACTCCTCAAAATGTTTTTGTATAATTTATTGTTTCCCCTAATAAAGCTCTCAATCCACTCAAATTTGTTCTCTCCCATATAATACTACAAAAATAAAAAATGACACGTTTCGACTCCTAACTCCACCATTGCCGGAACCAAGGAGACACTCAAATACTCAATAGTAACACTCCCAAAGCTTCGAGTAAAACTAGTGATCTTAAAATGGTTATTTCTCATTTACACAAACGTAACACTATTTACCATAATAAAACCATTCACTGTTCTTTCTTAAAATCCAAGAAAAGGTGAAAAAACTGAAATAAACCAAACCAAACCAAACAAAACTGTACAGTGGATGTGACATTCTAGAAGCATGTTCCACTTCTCTCCACTATTCGAAAAAAAAAAAAACACACAAAGTTGGAAAAATAAGTGAAAACATGAAATACCAAAACTACCCCTAGTTCCCACAAGTGCTCCTATTTGCTTTCCAGAAAGAACCAAATTCACACCACCCATCCTTGCTTCTCCTCTCCTCTTCTCTCCGAACAAGAACCAAACAAGAACTTATGTTAGACATGTCGGAATCTGTACTAACGGCGATGTACAGTTGGTTAACACCGACAGTACTCTTTGTCTTCCTCAACTTAATGATAGGCACCATAGCCATAAGCTCATCTTTCTCTTCTAAATCTAATGACCCGAATCAAACTCAGATCCAACGCTCTCCTTCCATGATTCACCGTCTCAAATCCATTAACTTCTCTTCCTTCACTTCTCCAGACAAATCTCATCTCGAGTTTCCTCCTTCAACACCTGAAGACAACAACAACACATACCAACCAGCTTCAATAGAACAGAACCAACCTTTCTTGTCTAGATCTCCTTCTGTTCTTCACAGAATCAAATCTTTCAATCTTTACAACTACATTTCTCAAGAACCCACCAACATAATCCAAGCTCCACCACCGTCAGTGACCGTGGAGTCAAAACAAGAACAAGAACAAGAACAAGAACAAGAACAAGAACAAGAACAAGAACAAGAACAAGAACAAGAACAAGAACAAGAACAAGAACAAGAAGAGGAAGAAGAGACAAGTCCAAGTCTTGAAGAGGTTTATAGCAAACTCAATCTAAACCATGTCGCTAGGACAAAATCAGACACAGAACCAGCTGCTGGAATCATACCACCGAAGCTACCAAAGAAGATGAAGAAATCAGCTAGCACTAAGTCACCTTTCTCTCACTTTCAAGAAGATGAAATCTCAGTGGAAGCTCGTCGTCCGGCGACGGTGAAAGTTCCGAGAGTTACGACGGTTGAAGAAGCTGATGAAGAAGTTGATGCTAAAGCTGATGACTTTATAAACCGATTCAAACATCAGTTGAAGTTGCAGAGGATCGATTCAATCACTAAGTATAAGGAAATGGTGAAGAAAAGAAACGACAAAAATTGATAAAAACAAAACTCTTGGGGTTGTTTCTTAATTATGTATTAATTTATGGACCTTTTTGAATTTTGGTTTAACTTTTCTTTAAAATTTCCATCTTCACTGTAGATTTATCTTTATGACAAGAAAGAGTTCGAGAATCTTTATCTTTGTAAATGTCTGAATTCAAAACTATGATGAAAGAAAGAATCTTCGTGGTTGTGTAGTTGTGTAACATTTTACTGCTATATATGTTTTTGTTTTTACTATTTTAACAGTGGTAACTTGTAATAAGAGAGGGTAAGTGGGGTAAATATGATGTGATGGTATTTAGAATTGTACGTTGTGCTTATCCGTATTTGCAGGGATGCTTGGCTGTGAAGCACGTGGAGATCAAGTGTCATGTCTTTTTATTGAAAGATGATGTTTGGTAGATCTTTAATTGGAATTATACATATAAAATTAATTTTTATGTCATTATAAAACATAAAAGTTTGATACGTATATGGAATTTTTTTGTAAAACTGTAATATATATAAAACATATCATAAACTATTCAATTGTGAAAATAATAGGATCGAAAAAAAAATTTAAAAAATATTTTGAAAAACAAACCAAAACATATTATAATTTTTTCGATCGTGAAAATTATAGTCGTAAATAATTGTTCATAAAAATCGTTTATGCAACATTTTTCATTATTTGTAAATTGAAGAAGAAAATAAAAGGTATAATAAATTTCATTCATAATGTTTTTGGTAGGATGTTTTCCTTCCACTTTCCTTCAAATCTAGCGTTATAGGAACCGGTTGAAACTACGTAATAAAAATATCATACTAATTTTAACATGTGATATTTAAACACTTTCATGATATAAATAGTGTATGTAATTTATATGAAAATAATTTATATGAAAAATGATTTCTGTAAAATTATGTTAGTATGTATGAATACTTTCAAATTAAAAATAATTATAAAAAAATCTATGTATTTTAGTTTTATTTTCATGGAAAATTATTTTTAGGTAAATTTAAAACTTTATTAATAGTTATGTTATGTAAAATTATACTAATTTTGATGTTGACTTTAAAACCAAAAAAAAAAGACTTGAAATTTTGTTGTGTCAAATCTTTGTAGTGTTTTTTATATAAAATTATTCTTAAGTAGATTTAAAACTCTATTAATAGTTATGCTGTGAAAAATTATAGTAATGTTTATTATGACCTTATAACTTAGAAAGAAAAGTTATTTACAATTTTCTAAGTCCGATGTGTTACCAAATTTTTTGTAGAAACATAGAAAAAATACTTGTTTTCCTACCATTTTGTTTACGAATTTATTTGTCGGAAATATATTATTTTCTTATTGTTAAATACTTCACGAATTCTAAAAGATAATGAATTCGTAGCAAATTAAATGATGGATATGTAAAGTCGCATAATTATCGTTCCTACGAACTATCGTATTTACCCACATATGACCACGAAACAATGAACCATTCGAATAAGAATTCATTCATACATCCACATGTTAACACAAACTTGTTTTTGTTTCTTTTTCTTTTACTTATTTGTTGAAATTTTAACACAAATTTGTTTTCATGTAACTTATATATATACTCTTTAGAGATTCAATTGTAATTATATATCCATGTATGAGAATAAAAAATAATTATATTTTTTGAGATTCTATTCATAAACTAACTCGTATAGTATATGTTCTAATTGTTAGTTTCTTAAATGTCTCATCTACTATTAGTGATACAATGTCCCACATCGGAAGCTGAACAAATATTCTGATAGTTATAAGAGAAATTGACCTCTCTACTAATTGGAGTTAGATTTGACTTATATATTAAAAACTTCTCTTCCTAATCTTTCGATGTGGGATATTGGTTTGTATTCCAAAACTCCCCTTCAACGAACTTTTGGCTTCTTATTCTTGATGTACTATTCTTATTGTGTCACATTGAGAGTTTTCCTACACAGAATGTAGAGTCCATATCCACTACTCTAGGTCTATTATCTTGACTTATGCACTCATACCAATTGTTGGAATCTCTAAACTCAAGTCAGCTTTTCAGTAATATAATATTATTGGTTTTGGAGTCAAAACTCAAGGCGGTACGGATTTGTTATTGGGTTCCTTCCCAAAAAGGTTCTCCGCTAATTTCTACGATGTTCTTGTTTATTCTTCTAATATTTGATTGTTTACCTAACTTAATAATCGTAATAGTTTTTCTATTTGACAAAAAGAATGGCAATAGTTGAAATTGATGTTCCGATTCTAATTATCTTGAAAATTAATTGAAATTGCAATGTAGTTTCTTAACAAAAATATCTACAAACCTACAAATATCCAATTTTATAAACAGTTTTCTAAAGCAAACAAAATTGTTTCCACTATTTCATTCAGCATTGAATAGATCAGCCATTAGGGAGAGGACTCAAAAATAATGGACCAATCAATCATTGAAAGCTTTTGGACTTTCGGTTCTCTTCAGCGGCGCAAAGGCATAATGGGGACGAATTATTATTTGTCGTCTTTCTATGTTTGCTTTCTTCAGTATGTAAATATATCATACTATCAATGAAAATGACATAATTTAGAATAACAAAACTATATACTAAATTACTACCATGCAATCTATACAAAAATTGAAAGAGTAACTTTTTTTTTTCTTTCTTTTGCAAAATAATATAAGATCTACTTCCAAAATATAGGAGATTTCATGCATTTAAATTAAATAACATAGAATTCTATCTTATGATTAATTATTTTATCTAATTATGAAGCTATTTTTTACACAATTTCTATATTTATTAATCGATTAACGAGAACATATGCTTGTTTGTTTCTGCATATATGAATGATTTTTTTAAGGCTAAGATATGTTTAAGGATAATGTGGCATTGATTTGATCATTTGAAGTACAATATAATTTTTCTAAATTAATAGTTTTTTTTCGTCAACTAAATTAATAGTTGATAAATTAATATATTTGAATTCAATTTAATTTCAATAAATTATTTTATCTAATTTTGAAGCTGTTTTTTTTTTGCATATTTTGTATATTTATTGGTCGATATACGAGTGCTATTTAACGAAAACACATGTTTGTTTTTGCGTACTTGAATGCTTTGTTTAAGCTAAAATGTGTTTAATAAAAATGTGGCAATATTACTTTAAAGTAAAATATAACTTTTATAAACTAATAGTTGATAAATTAATATAGTTCTTCGGTTTTAAATTGGTTTTCGAATTCAATTTTACATATTAATAAAATATCGTAGTTAAGAATTTATTGAGATTTTACATTTGTTTGTTGCTGAAGTGAGACTTCTGCCGTGGTCGTTACAACAAATACTGATAGATTTGATATCTGTTAATTATTGTGTTAGTCTTAGGACTGCTCATAAACAATTAAGGAACCCGACAAAGTTAATCATCGAATTAAGAAGTTTTATTTTTAAAAGTATTGTTTGTTTTGAATCCTAAGAGTAAACGAAATTAAAGTATTAATCATGAATCATGCGGTTGGAGAGAATCAGAGACACATAATAGTATTGTATTATTGTATAAATGTATATGATATTTTATAAACACACTCGGATATGGTGCTTGAATAATTAAATAAAATTAATACTATTCTCTTAACGATCTTGTAACAATATAAAATCAGTTTATTGTTGAAAATGTTAGACCCTACTCTTTTAGACACAAGGAATTTGGTACTTTACCTTCAATGATAATGACTCTTCACCATTGTAGCTAGATTGATTGAACTTTTCTTGGCTTCATTTATAAGTCTTACCACTAAGATTTCTAATACAATTATTGCCATAGAGATAAGACTAAAGTATGATTACGAATTATGGATCTTTTACATAACAAATCTATATACCTAGAGGCTAGAGAAAAAAAAACTTTACCCTACAAAATCAATGTTAATATCTTGCTTTGTCTGGAAACCAAATTCTAGAATAAAATTGACTAGGGATTGTTGGTGCTGGAATTGGCACCTACGACATACCGGCCTAAACCAAACGAATCATCTAAACTGGGAAACCCCGGTTAAAAGCCTAATATTTGGGCTTAGGGTAAAAGTCTGTAATGGTCATCAGCCGACCTCAAGTTATTACGTTCTTAAACCTAAAAAATAAAACTTTACAAAGATCTACACCTAGATTTAGGGAGATTTAATATTTTATTGTAACCTAGATCTTTCATATAAATAAGAGGGTACGTCTTTTACTGAAGGCATGGAGCAATTAATACAAAACCCCTAGTTCTTCAACCGTTCTTGAGAAAAACCTAACTTCTAGTAAATGTCGAAATCCCCTTTTTAATTCCATCTTTGATCGAGTTCTTTGAGAGATTGTTGAAGTGAGTTTGTTTCCCCTCTTTAGCAAATTCATTGTGTGAATTCTTGGTTTAAACAGGGATCAGATGTGATTGTGATTATATATAGAGAATAATCAGGAGAACGATATCTAAAACCACACAATGTCCATAGTACAACCTGTAACCAATGAATTTGGCGTAAAACCAAGTATGCATGTGACACCGTCAAAAACACAATCCACTCGGTCTCCTAAGTTCCTACGGCTAGGACGAAAATATTGGACCTGTCTTGACTATGTCTAATGTGATTGTAGATAGTTAGAGAGACGTTGCTAGGATTGTTAGGTATCTGAGCACACAAAAAGAGAAGTGTTGTAGTTGACCCGGAGGAAGTTGGATCATCTTAAGATGTTGAGTGTTGAGTTTTTGATGATTTGTTATTGTTTTTATTAGCGTATGGTTTGATCATCCGGTTCATGTAAACCGGTTAGATTAGATTATGTCAAAACCACTCTACTATATAAAGAGTGAACCATTGTAACAAACACTTGAATGAGAATACCAGATTCATTTCGTCTTCTTCGTTTCAACATTTCTCATTCTATTATGGTATCAGAGCATTTTGCTCCTCTTCGCACATCTTCTTCCATGGATCTTTGAGTTTTCTTCTCTGAAACTCATAGATCTCTTCATTTTCTCTTTCATTCTTCGATTAATTGCTGGAAAACTCAGTCGATTGAGCTCAGATTTTGCGATGGTTTCCGTCAAGAAGTTACGGCGTCGTACAAGAAAATCGAGCACCGATTCAGCTGAGAAGACTCCAGATCGAGCTCAGAGTTCACCAATTCTTCAAAATTCACCACCGATTAGATCTGTTTTCACATCGCGACCTCCGGTTCATCCGATGCCACAATTTGATT